TGATGGCTAAGAATTTTCTGCTATAAAATCCGTTGTCAAATATTTCAGGACAAGCTAGTGAGAACCCAATAAGCTCGATGGTACGAGTTTGAGAATTTGTAATTTTGGGGTAATTTGTTTTTAATCACGTTTGCCTGCTATCAAGTACATTCTTAATCGACGGAAGATCGCAAATAATTGCAACTCGGTGTGATTTTACATGTTTGAAACGATACAACATATATATATCATTTTAGACTTATATATATAATCACACTGGATTGCCATCATTTGCGATCGAATGTACTAGATAACAGTTGTGTTCAGATGGCCTTATGTCCTGTGCGACTCATTAGAATTGCCTGATACATAGTTAATTTCAATTTCTCGGACTATCGATTTCTTAAGTTTTGTAACAATTGTTATTACTTCGGCTAATAAACAATCAATAGCATTTGAAGTCTCTTGTGCGTCTATTCCTTATTTTTTGTGTTCATAAAGTGAACAGTCTAAGATTAACCATGAAAGAACCATACCAAATCGATTATTTCTTTTATTTCTCTGCTCTGTCTCTGTCTGATTTCGCAGCGCACTTCGATACAGTGCCAGTTTTTGTCATTTTCTCGAGACACCAGTTGGTGGGTCTGGTACAAAGACAATACAATTGCTGATCTTTAATTTTGGTTATTAAATAAGTGTACTGGTTACGGGAAAAACCATGTTTTAAGATATCCCACAAGGGCTAAGGACTATTCAGCTAACCATAGTATACATTGTTATATAGTGATTATTTCGTTGACTGGAGTTTCAGATCAAAACACGATTATCTCCTATCAGTTCTGATCGTTTTTAGCCTACTTGGTATTTATTTTCTTCCAGATTTGACCATAAAACTAGTTTCGATTTTCCCAACAGGTCCAAATTATAAATAAAAAGAAAATCGATGCGGGACAATAGATTAAAACATTTCGTTTCAATGTTTCATATGAAACAAATGGCCATTCCGGATTTTATCAGAAACCTTTAGTTTCGTTTTACAAATCGTTTTTGTGCAATTGGGCACGATGCGGTAAGTTGGGCAATGCGGCAAAACGAACCCACCGTGTCAGCCCCTCAATGCCGAAATTGAACCCTAGAACTTCAGGTTAGCGAACAAGTGTCTATCTGACTGTGCCACCGCTGCTCCCTACCTAGAGGTCACACATGAAACACATCAAAGTATGACACGAACGGAAAGCCTAGCTTGAAGTTTTATATTGTGGCCTCAGATGGTCAATCAAATTTAAAATATTGTTCATTCAAGCATACCATGTCAGGAACACCAGACGAATCTTGTCAGCGCACCTCTACATCACTGGGAATTTGCTGACAAACCATTGGAACGTCTACTTTGCAGGACCTTTTCTGGGTAAAACGTTTTTACTTATTCAAGATGTACATTCCAAATGAATGGATATAATTTAAATTAGCTCAGCACCATGCCACTCCTCTACTTATGGTCTTGTAGAGAGGGCAGTTAATCTCATAGAGAGGACAGTTCAATCATTTAAACAGAGCATGAAGAAAAGGAGATTCTATTCAAACGATAGTTTTCAAGTTCTTGCTAACCTACAGAATAACACCCAATTCTACAACAGGTTTATCTCCAGTACAACTACTTCAAGGAAGACAACTACGATCTGCCTTAGATGTAGTACGACCAAATACCAGAAAACGTGTTCGACAGCATCAGGAGAAACATAAATTAACACATAAACACTCAAATAAGAGATCATTCAAACCAGGTGATCCAGTTTATGTTCATAACGGTGCCTCGGGTTCAAAATGGTTGCCTGCAGTTATCGTACACTGCTTTTTTAAATAACAACATATTGGTTAGAAGACATAGATCAGATAAAACCCAGAACACTATCTATAAACGCGAGCTATACGCCAACAACATCAACTGATATTCTTTGACGCATTTTTGATGAACGGTTGTTGAGTTATTGCCCTTGACTTTGTATAAACGCGTCAAAATTTGTTAAAAATAGTTCGTGAGCAGGATTGAAGCTACAGTTTTCAACCGATTCTGATGAAACTTGGTGTGTTCATTGGAATTGATAATATCTCTGACAAGTTCTAACTTGAGATATTTTTGATGAACGTTTTTTGAGTTATTGCCATTGACACGCGTCAAAAGTTGTTTTTGCCCTTGATTAGAGCAGTGTGATTTAATTGTTTGTTGTATTTGGGTTATTGATATTGATTTTAAAAAAAATTGTAGAATTACTCAGCATAAATAACTGGCATATATATATATGTAATTGGATTCAAACTAATAAAATTTTTTTCAATATGAGAAAATTCGTACGTTAGTCACTAAAGACTGTTTTATCATTTCTGACAGCTGCCAGTGGGTGTATGTTACCTTGCCTTGCAAGCTATCTTGAAAGATTGAAAATTAACCCATGCCTTTCCGTTTGTCTGTTTTACATCTTATTTGTCAATAGATAAACCGGATGTACAACGCCTGTTCTCATCCAAGAAGTGGTTTGATAAAGATTATAACAATAAAGAAAGGTTATTTTGGATAGTTTTTTTTCTTAATACCCTAGGATCGGTCCCAGCTAAGATCGATTCAAGAATACAGGGCTGTTTGCTTATGCTTTGACAGTTTCCGATATGTCTGGTAGAAGAACCAACGGAGTTCAATCACTTTTGTGTAGATTACAAATCGATGAAAAAACGGATAAGGCAGATGAATTTTATTCCTCTTAGCATTGCTAATGCATCCAGTGCACTTTTGGGTTCTGCTTGAAAATTTCCAGAAATATCGGAATACATGTACTACGTGCATTAATTGTTCCTCCAGACTCAGACGTCTTGTTGTCTACAGGTACCTAAACGTACCAGCCACAACCTTCCTTACTGATAAAGACAGGTCGAGGAGAACATTCCTGTGCGGAGCATATACAATAGATTGAAGTTTCATGTTGTAGCCATGCTCGGAAAATACAACGTATGTATGCTCTTAGTTTTGAAGTTATGTCTGTATTTTGTATCGATGCAGTGAATAAAGTATTTGATATTTTCTTAAAGATCTGTTTGATGTATTGTTAATTATGTAATCTACATGAAATACATGTCTCTAATTTAGGCAGATACTTGTTTGTAAGTACCGAATCCTGTTGGTTTGGTAATGCACTGGAATTTGGCATGTAGATCATACATGTAACATAGATTTGATGATTCCATTAGATTCTTGCATTCATATATTTGGACATATCATTTGTAATTGCATTACATATATTAGCGAAAAGATTAGTGTGGTGGCCCTATTTTTCATTTCAGCAAAATTGACATCCTAATATTGTTTAAGGCTAATGAAACCTTCTTACAAAATCAAATGAGTTTTTGATTTTAACATACAAAAATACACGAAATTTTAAATATCCCTATACTAACAGCTTAAATGATGAGAGAATAAGATTTCAGTTTTGACTATGCGTAACCCTGTTTGGGAAACTAGGTAGTTCAATGTTCTAACACAACAATTCTTAAGTGAATAACATACATGATTAATTCACTATGTAGACGCTATGGACTATGGATTGTTAAACTTTAGGAATGTGGACAACATTTTTGAAAGAACGTTTAGTGTGACTGTCATATCATATACTTTTATTCACAAGAGCATAATGTTTCATTTATACCACTGTCATCAAAGGGGATTCCATGACAGAAACCAATCAACTTGATATTAAAGGTATATTTTAAGGAAACTGATGCTCATCAACTGCAGCACTAGAGCTCATTTCACCTACAGCATACGATTAAATTACATGTTTTACGATTTTTTCGAATTTGCATAAGATCAACCTTTTTCAACCATTGTCTTCAAAACTGAAAGAGCGTCGGTACGGTTTTTACGCAACATAACAAGGTACGCCTTACCGGTGTTAGCAGCTAACAACGGAATGTTTGTCTAAAGATTGTCCCACGTCTGTTAAATATATGCAAACGTGTTCTTCTATTTCAGAAATTCATTATTTTATAAGTAATTCAACTAAGAAAAAGGTACCCGATCCAGGAGCATCTCACATGTGAAACGTCGACTTTAATTCACTTAATTTCATGTGAGAAATGTCCCAAACTCAAATTAATTTACGCACTCGTTTTAAGGCTCACAGATCAGATATCAAATTAAAGAAAGATAAACCTGTTTAATTAGTTCAACTTGGACGACCATCACGATCAGACGAACATATCCTAATCCATGGCTGATAAATCCATGAACAGATAAAAAAAAATGTCGTGCACTATCAAAATGGTTATTTGTCTTTTTAAATATGATTTTTAGACTTTTAAAAGGCAAGTTTATGACATTCAACTGATAATAAGTTGGGAACCTTGGGAACTGTCAGATGTCCGAGGGTGAAAGTTATAAGTGATGCGGAGTACAATCGAAATGTACGTGCAACACGTACCAGAGTTCTGTATAAAAACTAACTGACACCTACTGAGAATACAGTTGCTGTGAAGACAGCGAGCTCATGGCACGTCTAACCTCACAACAACGTGAACAAGCCATCGGACGATTAATTGCCGGACAACGTGCTCAAGTCTTGTCAATACATTTAACTGTAGTGTACGCACCATTGAGAGACTTTGGAGGATCCATGTGTTCTCAGATGAGAGTCGGTACAGCAGATGGCCGAGTACGAATGTGGTTGTTTTCTTACAGTTATCTATTATCTATATACAAAACCGAAAGCTTTACAGAAATATTATTTACGATAATTCCTGTAGTTATTATATTCATATACATGTTTGCCCTCTGTTATAATAGCTTGTCATTCACATCTATATCTCTCAGCGAATCTTTTCTAAAACGCAAATCCGTATTAGTGGACTAGCTCAGTCGATAGATCGCGTGGAATTGTCGTCGGCTGAGTGAACTTCCTACTAAGACCTTGACTGCAATAGTTACCTTTCTTGTCTATCAAGGTATAAGTACGTAATAGCCTGACATTGTGAAGATGGCAATAACAGGAATAGCCAGTGAAGTGACATGGTTACTTTACAGATGTACCTTACCGTGTATTTTAACCAGGTATTAGAAATTATAGAAACACTAAAAAGGTATACTCGTTTCCTTTGCAATGAATTAGAAATGTTTGAAATTAAACGCATTTAGTAATATTTAACATTATCATAATAAAATCAACACATAGAGACCGAACATGATATTTTAAAATTTAGACACAATAAGCAATAACGGACTGTACAGAAATAAAATATCACATAACAAAAGTTCACACATCCAGTCACAGAGAAACAGATAGAGCTGGTCCAGGAATATAAATCATGATATTCTCTTTCTAACCCCAACACACATCAGTGATCAGTAATAACACATGAGTAATAAAGTTGTATCGTGTCACACTTTTACATAGTAATCCAGTGTTTTTCTTATGTTTTTGTTTTAAAGAAGCCAGATGTTTGCTTCGATTAGCCTTAACTATGAATATATTGCTTTCATTAGGTGCAACAAAATCAACCCAAAATTAACTTGCCTGGTAATAATTTATTTATATCTGGACTGTAGAGGTTTCCACCAAGGTAAGTAACTGAAAATCTAAACCGCGTATTTGAAAAGGAGCATTTTTTTTGTTTTTGTTATTGTATCTACTGGAAATATTTGCGGGTTGCTTATTATCAGAATTTTCGTTTAAAGGTGAAAACCTATACTGCTATAAACTCCCTAATATTTAAGTACGTATTTGGTCTTACACTTACAAATATAAATTTCGAAGAGAAAACTGATTGATAATTGCATGATGTTATTTTGTACGTCTTCTGTGCATATTGTAGGTTGTCTTTGTAGCACAGTCTGGCTTCATGAAACGTCTCGTAGTCACATTGTCCGGTATTACTGAATCGTAACTGGAAACCTTTGAATCTTTCCATGACATCTGAAAAATGAAAAAAGATTTTTGACCATTGTCCTGTACTTGGTCTGACAGATTTGGTTGAGCCTGCTCAAAACACACCTCTTAGCGAGATGATAGAAACTTTTTTTATATACAACAAAATTGTAATGTGGACGAATATTGACGCCGCCCGCCGCAATGGAGGTCGCCGTTGTTCGTAAGATGTTTTTTACATTTTTGTGTATGAGATAATATTCACATTTTCCCGGGGTAGAATTCGATACATAATTCCTCAGTTACAGTCCTTGATATATCTGAAATGTTAAAATAGATTTGTGAATGAAATAAGGCATACATTCTTTGTCATATTTTATGTGTAGGTTTATATCCACGAGATTAAGGAAGTGGGCGTACATTGACGTCAAACGTTTATATTAGATCAATCCTAGACTCTGAACACGCATTACAATTGCTGTTAACGAATCAATATGTTCCGCGCCCATTTGTCCGATTTAATAAAACGTCTCTTAGCTATATTAATATGGCACGACACGTTAATGGAACATATTATAATAACGCTCGTAACCGTAATTTTATTGAATGCAAGTCAGATTGAATTTGTCCAGACAGAGCAGTAACTCAAATCACACACATTACATTACCAATTGTCTTCATTATCAGTGTGGTTTTAAACCCAGTTCATACCAGTTCATAAGTCAACCCAAACTACCCAACCCAAATCTAACCCCACCTGCACTAACACCAAGCCTTATCGAAATCCAAGAACCTATCTACACTCCAAGTGATGTTTATGATATCTTGATCTCCCTTGATACAAGCAAGGCCTGTGGTAGTGACCATATAAATAATACCATTCTAAAACTGAGCTGTAAATTTCTGTACTCTCCATTGTCTTACCTATTCATTTCTCTCCAAAACTTTCAGTGTTCACTCATTTGGAAACGGGCCGACGTTACCCCAATTTACAAGAAGGGCGACCAACATTCCTGCTCCAATTATAGACCGATATCCTTGTTGAGCTGTCTCGGAAAAGTCTTTGAAAAATGCATGTACCAATACCTCAACAACTTCCTTGTCTCAAATAACAAAATCTGGCTTTAGGAGCGGAGATAGCTGCACATACCAACTTGTTGATATCTATCATCAAATATGTGGCGAGCTTGATAAAGGACTCGAAACTAAGGCCATCTTCTTCGATATAAGTAAGGCATTCGATCGTGTCTGGCTTCTATGTAAACTCCAGGCCATTGGGATTACCGGGAATCTTCTACTTCTCGTTAAAGACTACCTCTCGGATCTCAGACAATTAGTTCAAATAAAAGGTCAATCATCAACTGAAATCATCGTACCCAACGGAGTGCCCCCGGGTTCATTTCTAGGTCCACTACTTTTCCTCGTATATATAAATGACATAGCAGAAGATGTAAAATCACACCTTAAATTGTTCGCTGATGACACCTCAATGTACATGGTAATTCATGACCCCGTATCTTGTCAAAGAGCCTTAGATCTCGATTTGCTAAAGATCGATCACTGGGCCAAAACATGGAATGTCGTTTTTGTCCAGAAAAAACTAAAAGCATTACCTTCAGCAAAAAGACTAATCCATCAAATTTCTCCCTCTTTTTCAATAGCACATCAATCTTTGATTCTGACGAGCATAAGCATTTAGGTATAATTTTCAGTTCAGATGGCAAGTGGAACAAACACATCGATCACATCATTTCTAAAACAAGAAAATCCATCGACTGCTTACGATCACTGAAATATCGCCTTTCTCGAAAATTCTTAGAAAAGTTATATGAGTCATTTATCCTACCACTCTTTGACTTTAATGATGCCGTTTGGGACAGTTGCTCACTTCGAGATGCTGAACGCCTCGAAAATCTTCAACTTGACGCATTGCGAACCATCTCAGGCCTGACACGGGGTACATCCCGCAAGACTCTATATAAAGAAACTGGCTTTTTACCATTGAAAACTAGGCGCTATCGGCACAAACTCACTCTTCTACAAGATGATACACCACCTTGCACCACCTTATCTGAATATATTAGTGCCCCGCCACACTGGCGACATTCATACCTACAACACCCGCAACCAGGATCAACTGAGATCAACATTCTGCCAGAGTACCCTTTTCCAGGAATCCTTTCTTCCATCAACAATTCGTGATTGATCCCTGAGTACATGAAAACGACTACATCCATTCAATCATTTAAACAACAGTTAAAAGCTAAAGATACTCAGATTCCCAGCTACTTCTACTTTGGAGACAGGGCATAGACAGGGAGAGAAATAATTCATTGTAGAATCAGAAACAGTATGAGTGAACTCCATTGCCACATGTTAGCTCGACACCTTACTGAAGATCCATCATGTCCATGTGGCCACTCCTTGGAAAATGCTGATCACTTCTTTCTTTACTGTCCACGTTACCATACTCAACGTTCCAAGACGCTTCATACTCTCCCCATGCATTTTCTAGACACTAAGTTACTCCTACAGGGCTCCCCAGATCTTAGTCTTTAAGAGAACACCACTATCATTAGCATTGTCCATGCATATATTAAACTAACGCAGCGTTTTTAACCACATCTGCTTCATTGCGTCTTTGGGTCTTTATTATATTCATTATAACCAGATCTATCCGAGTTAACAGTTGCTGAATGCTCTTCTTGTGCCGTATTCCTTTAATACGCGATCAAGTTAATCGAGTAGGGAACTCTTCTGATTCGGTAGGTACAACGAACCCAGTACAACCGGAAACACATTGCAAAACATCAAGTTTTCTCAACTCGTTGAATTTATCGAACATAAACAGTCCTTCGGCAACCACCGTGTGAGTAATCTGTTAGTAATCTGTATCAACCGAACTTAGAAGTGCTTACTTTTACCTCCACGAGAGTTTAGCTACGATCGGAATAATAGTTTTTGCGAACTTTGAGTTCCCCTTTTCGTCGATCGGCAAGATAAACCTTTGACCTCGCAGTTTTCTTTGATCTATATTGTGTGCCGACTTGATTTGTCATTTAATCGAACATTTGAATCCTATAGAGGGATATCTTTTATTTGATTTTCCTTAGTGTAACTTTTGTGTTACTTTGTATTTTACAGCTTTTTACAATAATGATCGTCGACTTTGAATAAAGTTCTGAATGTAAGAAGTGGCGGTCTTGTTATCTATCTGTTAAGCCATACCCTTTGGTGAGGACAGAATAGTAAAAAGACGACGATCTGCCGGCTGTATTAGATCCTACAGACTGTCAGCACACCACAGCCTGGCGAAATTGTTGTACTACGGGCACAGGACAACATCTACGTCTCGCCGACACAGACTCCGGTCATCGCCTATACAGTAAACAGACTCGTTAGTGGTACCTGACCTACATTCAACGGATAACTTCAGTCTATAATTAAGGACTTTACAACATTCTTGTAAAATTTGTGATACAAAGCCCAAGTATTGTATGTTTACATTTCAATATTGCTTATACGTATCATCGAACTGCAATCTCTATTAACTGTTTCATTTGAGTGTTAAATTTACAAAATATACAACAAATAATCATTTGAATATACGCCCACATTTTTGGTCAAAATGGATACTGACCCACAACCAAGTACATCACAAACGCGAATTCGTTCTCTCTCTGAAAAAGGAAAAGAAATTTACGAAAACACATACAGAGAACATCAGGGAAAAGTAAATAGAAAATAGCTTGAAGTTGAAAAGAACATAAGTGATTCGTCGTCGTGTAACGATCTGGTATCTTTACAAAAATTTGAAATTGAAACAACAGAAACATTTAAAGATTATAATATATTATCAGACAATTTTATTGAATTTCTTCACAGGACGAATACACCAGACAGTATAAGGGATACAGAATCGCAAGTGACTATTTTAAGAGCACACCAACTTTTAACTGAAAACACGCTTACAAGCATAAAACAACGTATAGCTTATTTACAAAATCAGAAGTCGGATGTACACAGCGTTGCTCAAACTAATCAAAGCTCCAAGACCCGAAGTTCATCTCATTCATCTATAAAATCGAAATTGGCAACAAAGAAAGCCGAGGCAGAGGCAGCTGCCGTGGGCGTAACATTTGCTCGCAAAGAAACTCATTTAAAGAAGCAAAGAGCTCAACAAGCTGAAAGGCAAGCGTCTCTCGAGGCCGAATTGAGTCTTATTCAACAAGAGAAAGCGGCAGCCGAGACTGCAGCTCAATTTCACGCTTTTCAAACAATCACCGACGAGATCGATAGTCGCGCTGGTGACTTGCCACTTCCCCAAGAAAATGCAGTCGACCGCACTCGAGCTTATGTAGAGTCGAATGGTGATCATTCTTACCAGCGCACAGCAGATCAAACAGACGCTGACCATCCTCAAATTGAACAAGCTGGCCTAAACCCTACAGCACCCAGCTTTACACCTCAGATAATACTGGATCCGGTGACGACACAAAATGAAAGCGTTTCCACTGCAGCTGAGCTAACTAGATTTCTATTGAAAAAGGAACTTCTGCTGTCACGTTTAACGACATTTAACGACAAACCTGAGTTGTTCCGCGTATGGAAGGCCGGATTCATCTCTGTCGTGCAAGACTTACATGTCAATGGAAGAATTAGACTTGCTTGTCAAATGGTTAGGCAGTGAGTCATCTCAGTATGCCCAAAGTATACGTGCTGCCCATGCAAATAATCCTAAGAAAGGACTCGCTCGCTTATGGGAAAGACTTCAAGATAGATATGGGAGTCCAGAACTTGTTGAATCGTCCATAAAAGCCAGACTTAACAGTTTTCCTAAACTATCAAATCGTGATAACAAGAGGTTGTATGATCTCGCCGACATACTATCTGAAATAGAGGCAGCGAAAGAAGATAAACAGTATAAAACACTTTTGTCCTACTTTGATTCTTCTTCAGGGATCATACCTATTGTCGCCAAACTCCCATATAACCTTCAGGAAAAGTGGACGAACAAGGCTGTTAGGTACAAAGCCAAATACAAGGCTGCTCATCCTCCACTTTCATGTTTTGTTGACTTTATACGGAAAATCTCTAAAATCAAGAACGACCCAAGTTTTGTATACGAGACACATACAAATCCACCTGACAGACATCAGCAAATCAAAAGTCAATCACAAAAACCAGTTGTGCGTGTGAGAAAGACCGATGTTACATCTGAAATAAAATGTCCTATTCATAAGAGCAACCACTCTCTGAATGAATGCAGAGCATTCCGTTCGAAGTCAGTTGTTGAAAGAAAAGCCTTCTTAAAAGAACAAGGATTTTGTTTTCGGTGTTGCTTCTCTAAGAAACATGTTGCTAGTGCATGCAACGAAGATGTGGTTTGTGCTGAATGCCGCAGCACTAAACACCCTACCGCCCTACATGTAAACTCACCAAACAATAACCCTGTTACTTCGGCTGTAAAAAACAACGGCGGGGAGAACTCTCCCAATCAATCGACCTCTGCAGACCATGTGAAATCTAAATGCACACAAATATGCGGACAATCATTCCGTGGAAAATCCTGTGGAAAAACAGTTTTGGCTAACGTGTTCCCATGCGACCAACCAGAAAAGGCAAGACGAGTATACGCAATACTCGACGATCAGAGTAAAATGACCCTTGGTAGAAGTGATCTCTTCGAACTATTTTCAGTGGACACCAAAGACGTCCCATACACTTTGGTCTCTTGCGCAGGACAACAGAGCATGTCCGGTCGGAGAGCTAAAAACCTTGTTGTCCAATCGTTTGATGATACACAAACACTAAACCTTCCCACAGTTATTGAATGTAACGAAATTCCCAACCTAAGAGAGGAAAAACCATCACCGGAGATGGCTAAATATCACCCCAACCTTTCTGATATGGCCAATCATATTCCACCCTTGGATGATCAAGCCTCCATCTTGTTACTCATAGGGAGCGAACTGGTCCAAAGGGCTCACCATACGCCCAAAAGTTACCTATGGGTTGGGTAGTTGTGTATAGGAAAACGTGTATAGGAAAAATACACAAATCTGACGTCGTGAATGTTAATAAAACTCACCTGCTTCGAAATGGTCGTCCATCTCTGTTTAACCCATGTCCTAACAACCTGTTTACGACCTGCACACCTACCTGTAATGAACGGGATCATTCATCAACAGTTTTCGAGACTACTCAAGACGACAACAAGAAAGGTCTTTCTGTCGAGGATAGAATCTTCTTGGATCTAATGGAGAAAGATGTTGTCAAGGGCCCTGATGGTACTTTAGTTGCTCCTCTTCCTTTTAAGCCATCACGCCCTCGTCTCCCAAATAACCGTACACAAGCAGAACAGAGAGCAACAGCCCTTCATCACAGTATGTTGAAAATTACCTCTAAAAGAGAACATTTTGTGGAATTCATGAACAAAATATTAGTCGAAACGATAACCCATCTAAAACATATCGCTCAATCCTTCAACTGTAATGGAAATTGTATTGGTTGGCATATGTGCTCCATCTGGAAAACAGTCAGTGCTTTTCATACCACAGAACTTGACGTAATTAAATCAGTTCAAATCGAAGTCTACTCAGCTGAAGTGAAGTGTATCCAGTCCAATAGACCCATTCCTGCAAACAGTCCGATAGCAGCCCTTTCACCTGTTTTAGGAGAAGATAATTTATTACAAGTAGGAGGTAGACTTAATCAAAGTTCTCTAGGCATTGAACAAACAAACCCATTAATCCTGCCTGGTCGACATCATATCTCCACACTTCTTGTGCTTCACCATCACAGCCTTACTTCGCACCAGGGTAGGCATTTCACGGAAGGGGCTGTAAGGAAAGCTGGTCTATGGATCACAGGAGGGAAGCGGCTCATTTCATCGTTGATCTATAAATGTGTGACCTGCAAAAAATTACGTGGGACTCAAATGGTACAAAAGATGTCTGATCTACCTTCAGACCGCCTTTCTCCCGCTCCCGCTTTCACCTATGTTGGAGTGGATGTTTTTGGACCATGGTCTATCCTTAGTCGTCGCACCCGCGGTGGACAGTCAAACGACAAACGTTGGGCCGTGTTATTCACCTGCTTATCGACGAGAGCAATCCACTTAGAAGTGATTGAATCCATTTCTTCCCCTTGCTTGATCGATCCGGGGTCCAGTTGCAAGGTTCCGCTCCGACAGAGGCACAAATTTTGTTGGGGCTACAGACATCTTACGTATTGACTCCATCAATGTTGAAGACGGACCTGTTCGAGATTTCCTTTATAATTCTGGAACTGAATGGTTGTTCAACGCTCCTCACTCTTCCCACGTGGGTGGAGTGTGGGAACGTCTAATAGGCGTCACCCGTCGAATATTGGATTCCATGTTAAGAGGACCATCTGGTACTAATCTCACTCACGAGACCCTCACAACATTCATGGCTGAGGCTTCAGCGATAGTTAATTCCAGACCTTTGGTACTGGTGTCAACAGACCCAGAAAACCCATCTGTATTGTCTCCAGCAACACTACTCCATCAGAAAACAGTTAAAGGGGAAGAGCCCCTCGGAGATTTTAACTTAACAGACATGTACAGAGCGCAATGGAAAAGAGTGCAAGCTATGGCCGATACCTTCTGGAATAAATGGAGACAAGAGTATCTCCAGACGTTACAAACAAGGCGGAAGTGGCAAAATGATCTTCCCGATCTTCAAAACAATGATGTTATTCTACTTAAAGAGAAAGATTCTCATCGTAACAGTTGGCCTTTAGGTATCATTGAAACTATATTACCCAGTGCCGATGGGAAGGTCCGGAAAGGCGTCGTGCGCGTCGTAAAAGATGGAAAAGTAGTATCTTACACTCGACCTATCAGCGAAATGGTTCTCCTCGTATCAAGAGAATAGATTATAGCGGACAGACTTTGATCATTTCAATTGTGCCTTCATTTTTATTTTTGAGAATTCAATTTGTGATTTTTCGTTTAAAGTGATGTACCCAAGGTACTTCAGACGGGGAGTGTGCCGTATTCCTTTAATACGCTATCAAGTTAATCGAGTAGGGAACTCTTCTGATTCGGGAGGTACAACGAAACCCAGTACAACCGGAAACACATTGCAAAACATCAAGTTTTCTCAACTCATTGAATTTATCGAACATAAACAGTCCTTCGGCAACCACCGTGTGAGTAATCTGTTAGTAATCTGTATCAACCGAACTTAGAAGTGCTTACTTTTACCTCCACGAGAGTTTAGCTACGATCGGAATAATAGTTTTTGCGAACTTTGAATTCCCTTTTTCGTCGATCGGCAAGATTGACCTTTGACCTCGCAGTTTTCTTTGATCTATATTGTGTGCCGACTTGATTTGTCATTTAATCGAACTTTGAAACTAACATTTAAATCCTATAGAGGGATATCTTTTATTTGATTTTCCTTAGTGTAACTTTTGTGTTACTTTGTATTTTACAGCTTTTTACAATAATGATCGTCGACTTTGAATAAAGTTCTGAATGTAAGAAGTGGCGGTCTTGTTATCTATCTGTTAAGCCATACCCTTTGGTGAGGATAGAATAGTTCTGATCCATTGTTCGTTTTATTTAGGATTACCTGGTCTATTTTTCTTGCTATTGAGACATATCTGATGTTATGTTCGTTTTATTTAGGTTTATGATTTGATGTATTGTTCGTTTAATTCAGGATAACCTGATCTATTGTTCGTCCTATTGTGGCCTACGTGATCTATTGTTCGTTCTATTGAGGCATACCTGATGTATTGATCGTCTTATTCAGGATTACCTGATCTATGGTTCGTTTTATTCAGGATTACCTGATCTATTGTTCGTTTTATCCGGGATTACCTTGGTCTATTGCTTGTTGCATTGAGGCTTACCTGATTTATAGTTAGACCGTTTGAGGCCTACCTGATCTACTGTTCATCTTATTCTCTATCTCCTGCTCTCTATTGTTCATTCTATTGAAACTTATCTGATCTATTGAAACTTATCTGATCTATTGAGATTGACCTGCTCTATTGTTAGTCCTTCTGAGGCTTAACTGCTTTATTACTCGTTCTGTTGATGTCATGTTGAGGCTTATTTGATGTATTGTTCGTTAAATTGAGGTTTATTTGAATATTTGATGCATTGTTCGCTAAATTGAGTCTTACCTGGTCCACGGTCCGTCCTATTGAGGCAATCCTTGGCTATAGCTCGTTTTATTGGGACTTACCTGGTCCACGGTTCACTGTTCTGAAGCTAACCTGACCTATTGTTCGTTTAGAACTACCTGATCTATTGCTCGTTGCATTGAGGCTTATCTAAATAACTATTAGTCATTTTGAGATATAGCTGACATACTGTTCATCCCGTTCAGGCTTACTTAGTCTCTATTGTTCACTCTATTGGGGCTTACATGATCCATTGTTCGTCCTAAAGGGACTTACCTGTTCTCTCTCGCTCGTTGTATTAAGGCTTACTATTTGTTTGCACATGAGGTAAACCGGGTCTACTGCTAGTTGTATCGAAGTTTACCTGATCCATTGATCGCTCTATTGATACTTACCTGATCTTTTGTTCGTGTTATTGAGACTTACGAGATCTATCGGTCGCACAATTGAGGCTCATTTAATGCTCGTTCCATTGAGTCCTACCTGATCTACGGTTCATTCTATTGAGGCTAACTTGATTCATTGTTCGTCCTATTGATGGTTTATTAAAAGTCCTGATTTGTCTGATCCATTACTCGTACTATTGAGTCATTGAGTCATACCTGATATATAGTTCGCTCTACTGAGGTAAACCTGATCTCTATAGATCTATGGTTCGTTCGTTTGAGGCTTACCTGATTTATTGCTCGTTCTATTGATACTTACCTAATTTGTGCTAGTTCTATTGAAGATTACCTATGGTTCGTTCTATTGAGTCTTACCTAGTATTTATATTCATTATTTACTAATTGTTCGTGTTATTTTTCGGCATATTACAATGTTTTTATATTTAAATTTAATTTTCTAGAAAAGTGTGACAGGTTACCGAAAAATCGTGCAAATGAAAAGACACAAACTGAGTACAATCGTGCTTTGATGAGTATTATTTAGAGAACAATTCTACTAAATTTTGTTCCTTTTTTTTAGCATTTGCACGATAAAATCGGCCCCATTTTTTCTACGCCCACATGGAAATGTTGCCAACGCCCCTGTCCTTCCGTCGATCCGCCCGTCCGTCCACATTTCTTGTATGCACAATAGAGGCTACAGATTTTATCTGATCTTGATGAAAAGTTCAAAATTGGTAATAATCGGATGAATGGTTTTAGAGGGATTGCCCACGTTAAATTTTGCTTATACGCACGATAAAGGCTACAATCTTCATGAAACTTAATATGCATGTACATATTGATGAGATTTCAGTCAAGTTCGAAATTGGTAATAATTTTCTAATTGACAACATTCGACGGCAACATTTAAGGTAGAAATCTGCATGCGCGCGTTGAACAACGAGAACTGCTATATAACGTTGTTTGTAAGGATTTCAGTTCTGAAAGTGGCAAGTACAGACTGTGATTGGATAATATTTCATCCTTACCAAAAATAGTAGGTGTATATATAAGATTTTTCATCAAAGTTGGTAAGATTCTCAACCATGTTGACATTGATGAAAATTGACTTTGGACTAATATTGCCCGACTTGGGAAGTATATAAATTTACAACGTATGATAGATTTAACATTTCGCCAAATTGTTGTTTTCGGGATTCGCTTTCGGTTCGGGTCGTTATTACTTGGTTTATTTATTGACAGTGACAAATATTGAAAATTGTTTTTTCTGATACTAACCAGGATGACCTACTGAATAAACGTTATGTATCTCGATGTATTGTAAATTGAATACTTGCTCCAGATCAACACACCACCATTCTAGTTCAGAATTCTGAGTATGGGCCATAGTTGTAAGGATACCATCAACAGCACAACAAGACAAGTATATTTCATACGTACTGCTACTATAACTGGGTTTATTCAATGCAATATTTTTTATAAATATGTCTGAAAAAAAAACAGTCGCATATAATTCTAAAAATTAAAATGTGTTCCGTTTGAGGATCCGAGAGGATTTGGGTTTTAAAAGACTGTTATCAACTGGTAGGATATGCAGGAATGCGATTACTTGGATATAGTCAATCCATTCATTCATGGGTAACAGCATTTCGATTTGATAAAATGCTTCAGGAATTATAACCTGTTTTCTACTTTGATGTTCTTGAAACCCCAAGCTTAACTTACCTTCTAGAAAAAACGTATTTACACCAACATCAACTGAAGAATTATAACAAACTTGAATTTTGTCATATAAGTAACACATTTTTCGCAATTCATGATAAGCCAATCCAACACATCTTTCATTGAAAAAACAAGAACTTGTACATGATAGTTGGTCAGCAGCCGTAGTTGTCTGGTAATACCCCGATAAAAGTTTATCTTTTGTATAAGATTTGAACATTTTCGTAGTAATTTCACAGGTTTTACATGTATTCAATAACATTAGTAACTTCAATAATATCACCAACATTTTGATACTCTAATGACCTTTTTTTAAATAGAATGAAAAGGCCACCACACTACAATATGAAATAACTACAATATGAATTTGAAGTAAATTAAAACGAAAGAACGTCGTGTTATTGAGTAACCAATGCCGTTACTAATACCGTTAAGACTAAGAATTTAAGCATAACAGAAATGTGGATTTGCTTGACTGGTTGAGAATTATAGTTAAATTAAAATATCATTTTCGTATTTGATACTTGACAATAAGAAAACCTTTTAGAAATCCAGTATACGTCTATTACACCGAGTTCAATGCATTTCAATAAGATGTCATAATATTCAAGTGTTATCATATGATTGCCCCTGTATGCATGTCAAAATATAACACTAATTATACCGAAAAAGTCTGTAATTGCATTAGATATAATCCTTAACATTTCTTTATTATTTGTTTTCAATTTAATCTTGAAATTAACAACTTCGATCTTGAGATTGAATATATAAATTTTGAAAAGTTTGTGAAATGCTTTTCTTTTCACTTTCCCAACAATCGTTTTCACGACGAGGAAGTACATCTGTATTATTATTACAACACATTTCAATAATCTTTTGTTGTTTGAACACTGTCGGTGCTAAAAAAAAAACTTTAGCTCAAAACATTGACTATATAAAGTAAATAGTGTCTAAAGTAACTATTGAATAACATTGTTGACTTGTTTCATTTCTGGTGAAAACTTTAATTAATAAGACGTTTATGTTCAATCAGTTACAGGTTTGAAAATAAGAGGAAAATGTTTTCGTCAATCAGGAAACTCGCATTTATTGTGTTTATTTCTGACAGTTTTGGAATTTCATCGAAGATTTTCACCTCATATTTAAAAGATAAACTAATATCGGGATATTATCGTCAAGAGGAAGTAACAGGTAGAGTGGGGTGTGTCTATTCCTGTGTTGTTGATGATCTTTGTTTTGGAGTGGCATATCATAATTCTCGTCAGATGTGTTATTTCTATGATACATTCCCAAAATGTTATCCTGACACGCCTGTTATAGAAGTTGGTATGGAAACTTTTTTACTTACCAAGGTAAACCTCTTCAACTTTTTACAGATGGGAAATGTGACGATTTTTATGCTTACACTTCAAACAAGAAAGCTAATATTTAACGCACATGGCTGTAACATGTAAAGTACACAACATGCACAGGGAACTCACGGGCTGAAAGTAGTCGGATATCCAAATTTTGACCAACTTCAACGAATTGCGATGTGAAGTTCACCAAATTGCTACAGGCTTACTTGAACAAGTTAGCTTCGATTCAAATGTAACTAAAAAGCCCACTAGTCAAAGAAAGTAATTGTCGTATGGCAAACCTTTTAAGAAGTCATGTTACATATTTTATAAATGATTTCTAGACGGTCATTTTGGAAACTGATCAGCATAAAATTAACTTTAAGAATAAATAGATGAGGTTGGTCAACTTTTAAACTAGCTCATGCATGATATAGTCTTTTTTACGTCTGATTTCACGAAACATCGTCACGATAATATCGCAACGGAATACAAGTATACCGTTTTTTTCATAATATTAATATTTTGATAATATTGTAATATTGTCCAACTCTATATCAAAGGTGGTAGTCAATAAGTGTCGAATCGTACCCAAAATAAAACTTGTCCCAGATATTGTTGCAAAAATTCAATAAATTCTTAAATAAACTGTTTTCTCTGGTGTTCACAGTCCACTTTTAATGTCATAATTGTGTATCAATGGCTATAACCCCTGTATCATTTTGTCAAATCGTATTCAAAATCCAAATTGTCCAAGATTGTGGACTTTTTTAGCTAAGCCAATCAGTATTAGTGTTCACAGTTCACCGTCGCAATTTGAACCTCAAATCCACACTTGAAAGTTAAAGCCCTTTTTAGGGACACTGCCAAAAAGAGAAAAGACATCTAAAGAAATAGGAAAATAAATACACAAACTTACCTAAAATTTCGACACATAAAACATAATTTCAGTGCATTAAAGTCGAAACTCTGTTATCCTTAGTTGAAACGTACCAGATTTGACAAGAATCTCTTTTCACAAGCCACATTTAACAAAATTTCGGTGTATCAAGGGTTGAAACTCAGTCATCATTTGTTTAATCATACTCAAACGTGTCCATATCTTATGGATATAAACTTACACACAAAACTTGACATGATAGCTTCAATTATCAATAACGGGTCAGTAATCTGCTCAAAACTTTCATGATTATTTCTCGCCCAGGAGTTTCTCTATAAACATTAAAATTGTTACTAATTACATGTTTTTTTTATGATTTTGTTAATTGGACATTTCAGATTCCTTCATAGAGAACATTGCTTTAAATAAGCCTGCTAATATGAGCAGCGTTAAGAGTAGTAATGTGCCAGTATGTCGAGGAGTTGACGGTATACACAATGGGTCTCTCCATACAAAACAGCCAGAACTAGAATGGTGGTGTCGATCTGGAGAAAATATACAACTTTCAGTCAATTGTTGTATATAACAAGAATAAAGGATACACAGGTAAAGACCAATACATTTTGTAATTAAAATAATTGCTTTAAAGAAAGAACACACATAATATAAAGATAGGCTTTCATTCAGAATTTGGACAAAAGAATGTGATGGGTGAAGAGGCTGAATGTACAACTACATCTCGCTTAATTATCTTGTTAGATGAGCAAAGACGACAGAACAAAAATTGCATTTTAGAGAGATGGCGGGATTCGGACAAATTGCATAAAAATGCAAATAGCAACCGGTCCTACCTTCAACATTGTAATTACATACTGATCTAACCGTTTAACGAAACCGAAATCCAAAACGACATTTTACTGAAACAGATTTTTCACATGAGGAAGTATATCAATCATAATTGATTATTAAAAGTGGTATGAGGTGTCTCGAAGAATACCTGCTTAACATGCACAACAACTTATACGTACTAAAAAAAATTTTAAAAAATAAAAAATTGGCGGATTGTACCAAAAAAAAAATGATAAATTATAAAAGTTCAAGGAACGTAACTGATAACGAATGCTATACTGTAATAAGAAAAGATAAAGAAAAACGACCCATATCAATGAGGATGCATTTCATATTGAAAAGTTGAAGTCGCAATAATGGTGGTCTTGGCATGTAGGAAACCACATTTATTTTTTGGTAAACAATATTTTATTCATATAATAATGAAAAGGTTTGGGTAACAGACTTTAAAAAAATACAGAAAAATACATGATATATGCAAAAAGAGAACATGTTGAAAAAATAATATATAAGTTATTTTGAGATAAAACTAAACATATTTAGATGAGTGTTATCTACACTTTGGTGCTTGTGGTATTGGTTGAAAATCTAGGTAATACGGAACCTTTCGCTGAGCTGAATTAAGTTATGAACTTGCTCGAATATGATAATGGATGATTCGTGACATGTTGTTCCGAATAAAAGAGTATCAATTGATAAATCAGTGGGTTTAGTCGCTTTACGTGTGCATCTGAATGTATCGGACAATGGAGTAAGTAATGATTTTCGAATTGGTGACCGCAAGGGCGAGTAAGGTCGTTCGAAATTTGCGTCCATTTAGATCGTAACAAGAGACACGAAGACGAGAATGTAAGATTTGATTTTTTCGACAGCCAAAAAAGTAAGAAGTGGGTACGATAATGTTATTTGATTTTAGAGCGGCTTTAAAGAACTTATGGAAGGTGATTTTTTTTAGGTTAACAGATAGGTTATCGTGCGGTTTTCGCATTGGAGATGTTCAAAACAAACGCCAGTTTTTGGTGATCTGATGACAACGCACTGGAATTGACAAGGTTGTTATGCAAGCGTCGTAGCATCTCCATGAACGAAATTTAAGCACGGCTTGCGAAACGATCATTTTATGATCATGTTTTTTCCTGCTATTAAAACTGTTGTTTCATTAATTCAGGTTAGAGGAAGGCTAGTAAGAACCCAATAAGCGCGATGGGAGCGAGCGATGGATTACGAGTTTTTGAATCTGTACTTTTGGGGGAAATTTGACTCGCGTTTGCCTACTATCTAGTACATTCTTAATCGACCCAAGATCGTAAATAATTGCAATCCGGTGTGATTATATATAAGTCTCAAATGATGTAATATATATATATGTATATAATATAATATAAAGCTTTATGCCCTGTGTGACTCTATGGAATACATACAGTAGTAGTTAATTTCAATATCTCGGACTATCGATTTCGGAAGTTTCTCGAACTATTGTTATTACATCAGCAAATAGATAATCAGTAGTCTCTTGTGTGTCTATTCCTTATTTTTGTGTTCATTAAGTTAACAGTTTTCTTGTTTTGATAAATAAAAGTTCTAAGCCTAAACGAGAAAGAATCATACCAAATCGAATGTTTCGTTTATTGCTCTGCTTTGTCACGCTTGAATTTTGCACTGCACTTTGATACAGTGGATGACTGTCCAATAGCCAGTTTTTATCAATTTCTGGCGATTGCAATAGATGGGTTTATAAGATGGTCTGGAACAAAGACAATGTTAACACTGCAATTGCTGATCTTTAATTTTGTTTATCAAAGAAGTGTACTAGTTTGGGCCAAAAGTATGATTCAATCCGATCGAGAAATTCCTCTCGGACTCAATCGTAGCTACGACGTCCATTCTCGATACGCCTGACAGTAACCTCGTATGCAGATGGAAGAAAATCTTCTTTAATTGTTAGGCTGAAGTTACGAAATATTGTTCTTCCGATGCAAGTTATCTCCCTTGTAACTATATCCTCGTCGTAGACAGAAGTCTGGGTGTTAGAGACTAGTCATCAGATGGACTCACTCCACTAAAACATTTTATGCAAATGATTGTATAGGAATGTAGTCCAGGCTATTTTTAGAAATCTTCTTTCTCTCTCCCTTTTGGGGTTTTTGCCTGCCTATTTTTGGGTAAAATTTGGTCTAGATTTGGAATTTGATGTCTGAAATTGCATTATCTTTCAGATTTGGT